AACATATATGCACCAAACACAGGAGCAACAAAATATATTTTAAAACTTCTGGAGGACTTCAAAGAAGAGATCAGTAGCAACACAATCATAGTGGGTGACTTTAACACCCCACTGAAACCACTAGATAAATCTTCTAGACAAAAAATTGACAAGGACATAGAGTCTTTAAATGATGAACTAGATCAGCTGGACAAAAGAGAAGAAGTAACAACTGACACCACAGAAATACAAATGATCATTAAAACATACTATGAACAATTATACACCAACAAATTGGACAATGTCGGTGAACTGGACAAATTTATAGAAACACACAGGCACCCAAAACTGAACTGGAAAGAGATATAAAACTTGAATAGACCAATAACAACTATGGAAATTAAAAATGTAATCAAGAAACTCCCAGCAAACAAAAACCCAGGCCCGGATTTCATGGGGGAGTTTTACCAAACATTCAAAGAAGATCTAACATCCATTCTTCTCAAACTATTCCAAAAAAATCCAAGAAGACAGAAGACTTCCAAACCCATTTTATGAGGCCAACATAATTCTAATTCCAAAACCAGATATAGACACTACAAAGAAAGAAAACTACAGGCCAATATCTCTGATGAACACAGATGCCAAAATTCTTAACAAAATATTAGCAATTGGATCCAGCGATACACCAAAAAAAATTATTCATCATGACCAAGTGGGATTCATCCCAGGGACGCAAGGATTGTACAATATCTGCAAATCAATAAATGTTTTCATTTAAAAAAAATGAAAGAAAAATTATATGATCATATCAATAGATGCTGAAAAAGCATATGATAAAATCCAGCACCCATTTCTGATAAAAACGCTCAGCAATGTGTGAACAGAGGGATCATATCTTGACATAATAAAGGCAATATATGAAAAACCTACAGCCAACATTATATTCAATGGGAAAAAACTAAAAACATTTTCCTTAAGAACAGGATGCTCACTCTCACCACTCTTATTTAACATAGTACTGGAGGTCTTAGCCACAGCTATTAGACATGAAGAAAACATAAAAGGAATCCAAATTGGAAAGGAAGAGTGAAACTGTCATTATTTGCAGATGACCTGATACTGTACATAGAAAACCCGAAAGACTCAGTCAAAAATCTACTAAAGCTAATAAATGAATTTGGCAAAGTAGCACGATACAAAATTAATGTAAAGAAATTGACAGCATTCTTGTACACCAACAACAAACTCACTGAAAGAGAAACTAAAAAAGCAATCCCATTTACCATCACGGCAAAAAAATTTAAGATACCTAGGAATAAACTTAACCAAAGAAATAAAGGACCTATTCATAGAAAACTACAGGTCACTGAAAAAAAAGACAGAGAGAGAGAGAAGAGAGAGAGAGAGAGAGAGAGAGAGAGAGAGAGGAAGGCATAAAAAAGTGGAAGCATATACCTTGTTCATGGATTGGAAAAATTAAGATCATTAAAATGTCCATACTACCCAAAGCTATCTATATATTCATTGCAATCCCCATCCAGTGACATATTTCACAAAACTAGAACAAATACTCCAAAAGTTTATATGGAAACAAAAATGAGTTGTTATACCGAAATAGCCACAGCAATCTTGAAAAAGAAGAAGAAAGTGCAACTGTGTAGTGATGGCTATAACTGAATTCATTGAGGTAATCATTTTTCAGTACATACATATATCAAATTATTATGCTGTACACTTAAAACTAAAATGTTATATGTCAATTATATCTCAAAGTAGGAGGGAGCACTATACTGGATATCAGGTTATACTACAAAGCCATTGTAATTAAAACAGCCTGACACTGGCACGAGAACAGGCAGATAGATCAATGGAACAAAAAAGCGAACCCAGAAATTGACCCAAATTATTATGCTCAATTAGTATTTGACAAATGGGGCAAGAGCATAAATGGAGTAAAGACAACCTCTTTAATAAATGGTGTTGGCGCCCTGGCCAGTTTGGCTCAGCGGTTGAGTGTCGGCCTGTGGACCAGAGAGTCCTGGGTTTGGTTCCCGCTAGGGGAACGTACCACAAAAATAAATAAATAAATAACATAAATGGTGTTGGGAAAATTGGACAGCTACATGCAAAAACATGAAACTAGACCATCAACTTACAACACACACAAGAATAAACTCAAAATGGATAAAAGACTTAAATGCGACTGATGAATCCATAAAAATCCTAGAAGAAAACATAGGCAACAAAATTTCAGACATTACACGCAGCAGAATTTTCACTGATACAATGCCTAAGGCAACAGAAACAAACAAAAAATGAACACATGGGACTACATCAAACTAAAAAGCTTCTGCACAGCAAAAGAAATAACCATCAAAATGGAAAGGGAACCCACTCTGTGGGAGAGCATAATTGCCCATGATACATCACATAAGGGTTTAATTTCCAAAATATACGGAGTACTCATACAACTCAACAAAAGCAAGACAAAGAACTGAATTTTAAAATGGGGAGGGACCTAAATGGACACCTCTCCAAACAGGACATACAAATGGCCAAGAGACATATGAAAAAATGATCAACATCACTAATCATCAGAGAGATGCAAATTAAAATGACTATGAGGTATCACCTTATACCTGCCAGAATGACTGCCATCAACAAATCATCAAACAACAAGTACTGGCAAGAATGTAGAGAAAAGGGGACTCTAGCACACTGCTGGTGGGGATGCAGACTGGTGCAGCCACTATGGAAAACAGAATGGTGTTTTCTACATCCTGTTTAAAATTAAAAATTGAACTTCCATTTGACCCAGTGATCCCACTTCTAGGAATATATCCTAAGAAGCCTGAAACACCAATTGGAAAGAATGTATGTACCCCTATGTTCATAGCAGCACTATTTACAATCGCTAAGATCTGGAAAGAACCCAAGTGCCCATCAATAGATGAGTGGATAAAAAAGCTGTGGTACATATACACAATGGAGTACTATGCAGCTGTGAGAAAGAAAGATCTCTTACCCTTTGAGACAACATGGACAGACCTGGAGAGTATTATGCTAAGCAAAACAAGCTAGCCAGAGAAAGATAAGTATCACATGATCTCACTTATTTGTGGAATATAATGAACAAAATAAGCTGACGAACAAAATCGATCCAGAGACATGGAAGTAGGGAACAGACTGACAGGTCAGAGTGGAAGGCCATGTACTGGAAGAGAGCAACCGAAGAACCTATATACATATATACATAGCCCTTGGACACAGACAATAGGAAAGGCCTTGGATAGGGTGAGGACTGAATGAAGGTGGGCAAAGTGGGAGAAATGAAAGACATCTGTCATACTGTCAGTAATAAAAAAAAATATGCACTACAGTTTACAATACTGTGTCATAGATTTGAAAGTTACTAAGAGATCTTTTTTTTTTTTTTTTTAAATCCTCACCCGAGGACATTTTTCCATCTTTTGTACAGATAGAGTGGGAGGGAGAGAGAGGAAGAGAGAGAGAGAGAGAGAAACATCGACGTGAAAGGGACACATCGAGTGGCTGCCACCCGCACGACCAACCAGGGCCGGGGACAAACTGCAACCGAAGTACGTGCCCTTAGCGGGAACCGAACCCAGGTCTCTCCGGACTGCAGGCCGACGCTCTAACCGCTGAGCCAAACTGGCCAGGGCGAGATCTTAAAAGTTCTCATCTCACACACACACACACACAAGAAAGTGCAACTGTGTAGTGATGGATATAACTGAATTCATTGCGGTAATCATTTTGCAGTACATACATATATCAAATTATTATGCTGTACACTTAAAACTAAAATGTTATATGTCAATTATATCTCAATAAATTTTTTTTTTCTAAAATGTCATATACACAGGCACCAGGAGACAAATCCAGGAACACATATGGCAGTACTACATGAAAGAATTTAAAAATCTAGAAACATTGCCGATATCCACAAACAAAAGAATTGTCCTGGCCGGTTTTGCTCAGTGGTTAGAGCGTTGGCCCACAGACCAGTGAGTTTCGGGTTCAATTCCGGTCAAGAGCATGTACTTAGATTGCGATTTGTCTCCGACTCTGGTCTAGTCATGCGGAAGGCAGCCACTGGATGTGTCCCTTTTGCATGGATGTTACTCTTTCTTCCACTCTCTCCCTTCCACTCTATCTGAACAAAAGTGGAAAAATGTCCTCAGGTGAGGACAAAAAAAAAAGAATAAATGAGTTAAGATATATTCATCCAATAAAATACTATATCTCAGTAAAAATAAATTAATTACTGCTAGCTACATCATATGAATGAATCTCAAAATCATAGTTCAGTGCAAGAAATCAAATACAGATGAATTTTTAAAACAGTTTCATTTATGTTAAGTTCAGAAACGGACAAAAGTAATAAATATATTTGGATATATATCAATAGGTAGAAAACTATAAAGAAATCTATAAAAAGACAAGATAATAATTAATATAAAATTTAGAATAATATTACCTCTGGTTGGGAGGAAGAAAGAAACAATAAAGCACATAGTGGCATTTGGAGAATAAAATTGTTTTATTTTTTGGCCTGAGTAATGATACATGCATGTTTATTATATTCTTTAAAAATAATTGTATATGTCCATTTCAAACACTATTTTGCTTCCAAATCATACTTCATACCCATAAAATACCACTTTCCCCTGAAGGAATCTATAAAAAGAAATATAAATTATGCCTTCACCTAAGAATGCTTAAAAAAAAGATACTTTCTGATTCACATTCTTCAACTAAAAAATAGATCTGATCATTGTTTTAAGTCTATCTCATTCAAAGTTTAAACAATATACAAATTATTGGTTGTCACTTTGCCAAAAGAGCAAAATGTCACGGATTATTCTGGATTCAGTTAATATTATTTAGGATAACTTTACAATAAATACAGAAAGGAAAAAGTATGCATGCTTCTTACACAAGCTGACTTTAGGCCCTGGGCCGGTGAGGAATTCGAGGTTCCTTGGACCACTCACCTGATACTCAGGTCGTAACTCCCACTCAGGAGAAAATTTTCCTCCTCACACAACAAGAGGGTGCGGACACTCCCAGCGTGGCCTCGGAACTCGATGGGTATCTCCTTTACTTGTAAGATGTCCAGAAGGTGGATCTTCCGATTGGATGACACTGCTACAAAATCTCCCCCAGAATAATGGATGACTCTGTTTCTGTCCCACCTGAGTTGCCAGGGAAAAGGATGATCCATGAAAGAGAGTTAGCGTTATGCTTGGAACTCACTCAGCACAGTGGCTTTCACCTGCATGTGTAGTGGAAAACTCAAGTCCTTCCAACAAGAAAAGTAGCAGAGAGCAAGGCCTAGGATTCACGGGCCCTGATAGATTGCTACCTCATACCATAAGAAAAAAAAAAAAAAAAAAAAACCACATATTTTTGATAGATTTAAAACTTAAAGAGGAAATAAATAAATTAATTAATTAAAAACAGTATATCTGCTAATTAATGTATGATAAATCCACAAGGCAGAAAATGGAAGAATAGTCAGCATTTCCCAAACTTATTTGACCACAGAAAACTTTTTACATGGAAAACCTCAAAGGGACACAGTTGGGAAGCCCTATGCCCACTGCATATACCACTTTCTTTCTTTCATATTTTTAGGTTCAAAGTCCTATGCTAATAGGAACTGGGGGAAATACAAAGATTAGTAAGACATGAACTTTGCCCTCAATGAGCTTGTAGTACAATAAAACAGGGTGAGAATTAATTTTTCGGCCATAAAATTATTAGCATATAGATAAAATATGAGCAGGATGACCGAATAATTTATTGTCCAAACATATTTTATTATGAAAGGGGACATTATTATTAATTACTCCAGGATCACAGAGTAAAGTGGGATTGTTTCAGTAAAAAGGAATGCATGGTCACTCTAGATCTGAGGAGCAATTTTGTCCTCATTGCATTTGTCATATCTTGAGGTCAACCAGTTATCATTTTTTCTAAAGATTACTTATGACCATGCCCAGCAGGTGTGGATCAGTGGTTGAGCATCGACCCATGCACCACCGAAAAGTTGCTGGTTTGATTCCCGGTCAGGCACATGCCCAGGTTGTGGGCCCAATCTCCAGTGGGGGTCATGCAAGAGGCAGCCAATTGATGTTCTCTTTCATTGATGTTTCTATCTCTCTCTCTAAAAAAAAAAAAAAAATTAATAAAGAAAAATTTTTTTATAAAAGAGTACTTATGACCATACTACTCACAAAAACTCAACTTTGCTTTTCCCCTATCTGCTCTGTCTTCCCCTTAAGGACTGGCCAAGATGCAATTTTTTAGTATGATTCACAGCCAAAAATAAATGTAGATGGCCTTCACAAAACCTTATGAATAAAGAGTGAAGTCCTAGGCAGAAAGTTGATTATTAAATGGTCTTCTTCTGGCATGTCCAAATGATGTTATACTATGCAATTATCATAAATACTATTTTCATATTTAACATGGAAAGCTCCACAGTATTTTGCTGGAGTGGGTTACAGAAATATGTATAGCATAACCTCATTTCTATTTAAAAATATATATGCATGCAAAAGAAATTCTAGAATAGACACCAGTATTAATGGAGGTTATCCCTAGATGACAAAATTATAGATTTTTGCTTTTCTCTATATATTTTCTGGCATTTGGTGGATTTTTTCCTCCACTAAGCATATATTACTTTTAAAATTAGAATGAAACAATAAAGATATTTCAAAAAAAGTAAGATTTTATGTTGGTAAATTGTGCATAAGTTTATTGGTTAGTATACCCAAAATTTGTAAGGGGAAAGTGTCCCTCATACACTGCTGATAATGGTGCAAAAATCAAACACCTATTCTCATGTTAGTTTAGAGCTAGAGCATGAGGTGAGGAATGATTGCCTTTCCAAGTGAACAACGATCATGGGGATCCTGAGATGCCAGTGTGGGTAATTCAAGGGTCTCTGAAGACCTAGATTCAGACCCGAGTACCTACGTGTCCGAGAGAATATGGATGTTGTAAGATCCACAGAAAACATTTCTCTCCTCCATCTGGATCTGTAGCGTGTCCTGGTTCTGGTATGCCGACCACAGGTTGTAATCATTCTAACAAGAAAACACTTGGAGTCAAACTGCAGCAACAACTTTACCCACGTATCCCCTAGTCTCCCCTGGCAAGGACACAGGGCCAGTGGATTCTTCCTCTTTGGGCTGTGGCTGTTGGTATGTGGTGATGGGAAGGGGCAAATGAGCAGGCAGAAAAGTAATCTGTGAGTTAGAAAACATTGAGTCTGGGGTCCTAATTCTTCTTCCACCTCATATGTGTTCTGATTCCATAAACTTTCAAGGTTGTTGATGCACAACTTTTCCAATAATGAGCTCACAAAGGGTATGCTCACAAATAATGTCACTGGTGCCCTTTGACCAGCCGCTTCACGGAAGTGGAGTTTCACTTTTATATTGCAGATACCTGGCTGTACAAGGAATGTTTGTAGGAACCCAAGCCATGTGTGAAATTACTGCTGCACGCTCTATGCACCTGCACTTCAAAGTTCTCATACATCTGCCATCGCAGATTCTCCTTACAACTGCTTCACAAAGTACATCATTCGCCCCGCAAAGTATTCCCAGCATTTTACAGATGAGGTATCTGAGCCTCAGGGAGGAGAAACTAATATATTCAATCTGAACAAAGGTGCTTGCCTTCCCTTTTCATTCCTTCTTTCCTTTCTTCCCTCCTCTTCTCTCCCTCCCTTTCTCCCTCCCTCCCTTAATCACATACTTTCTAAGTAGCTATTGCATGCCAGGCATGCTAAATTCTGGTGTAAACTCCTACTTCCACTCCTCTGCCCAGCCAAAATCTTCACCCTTCAATAGCAGAAAATAATAACCACGCTACCAGGAAACCAAAAAACAAGGTGAGTTTATCATGAAAGCAAAGAAGACCAAACCGTCTTGTTTGCATCTGGGAGTCCTCCTGGGGACATCCCTTCCTGAGTCTCCTTCCAAACCTTAGCCATCTCCATATGCTTGTAGACTTTTCCTCAGGATACCCGCTTTCCTTAGCTCACTCTCCTTTTTTTTTTTTTTCATCCTCACCCGAGGACATTTTTTCCATTTTTTGTTCAGATAGAGTGGGAGGGAGAGAGAGAGAATCATCGACATGAAAGGGACATATCAAGTGGCTGCCACCCACACGACCCAACCAGGGCCGGGGACAAACTGCAACCGAGGAATGTGCCCTTAGCGGGAACCGAACCCGGGTCTCTCTAGACCACAGGTCGATGCTCTAACCGCTGAGCGAAACTGGCCAGGACACTCTCCTTCGTAATCTCTAACCAAGTAGTGATATCCACCTAGAAGTCTCTCCCTAGGAGAATCTATCAGACTGTCTCACCTCCAGAGTCCAAGCAGCTCTGATATTTTACCTTGAATTAAATGAAGCTTCCCTGGCCTCTCATAGCCCAGGTTGGAATTCCTTGGCTCTTGCTCATCAATTGAATTTTTGAGAGCCTCAAATCTACATGGTAGAGTCATTGGGATGAACGAGACCCGAGTTCAAATTCCAGCTCTGCCACTGACAAGCTGTGAGAACTTGGGTAAGTTTTCTAATATCATGGCCTTTGTTCCCACATCCATAAACTTATCTAACTGACCTTTGGTGAAGATTAAGTACACAATTTATACCAAGCCCTTGGCAGCGTGCCTGGCACACTGTTTGAGCTCAGTACCCATTGCAATCAGCACCCCGAGAAGCACTCACCTCCACCTTTTCCTAGCAGACCCCGTTACCGCTTTGTCTTTCTACTTCACATTTCTGTTCTGGTCTCCATACTGCTTTACCTGTTTCTCTCTCTCTTCTTAAATTATACATTTCTAAACTGTTAAACACTGTCGGGGTAATTCTCTCTTAGTCGGGAGATTACAGCTATATCACCTAAGGAAGAGTGTTAGTATCATTATACTTAGAGCAAGAGGCATGGAAAGAGCAGGTCAAAGTTAAACTTTTGTGCATCTCTGTCGCTCCGCTGGCTAGGAACTGTCCTAGCCAGGAAACTGTCTGTGCTTCAGCTTCTTTATCTATAAAATCAGTAAATGGACCAATCCGAAGACTTAAACAAATTTCAGGTCAAATGAGGTAAACAAATGTGTTTTCCTTGGCCCATATCTTTTTTTAAATGCTTTTAATCAGTTGCCAGCCTTTAAGAAAAGCAAAGGGTGTCACATGGTGATTCAGATTTCTAACTTCTCTCGAAAGCTCAGGTGGTCTGAGAGGCTGAGCTCCACAACCTCCCATGGCGATAGTGACTGCAGTTGAGTAGCAGCCCCTTCAGATGGGAAGTGGGCCTTCGGATCCATCACAATCGCACTGTCCTTCCTGTTCACACCACCCACCTCCCTCATTTGTGGAACCCATCTGGCCTCTACAGACATATGAACTAGGTGGTCTCTCTGGACCTTTCTATTTCTCAAATTATAATTTATACTGCACGGTTTCACAGAAGCTACAGTCTGGCCACCCCTTATTAAATATTCTTTGGGGGCACATTGAACAGTTTCAAAATACAAGGCCCTGGAGCAAAGAGGAGGGAGCAGGAATCTAATGGTTCTAGGAATGAACCACGCCTGGATAGGCAGAACATAAGAGTTCAGTCTTCCATCTACTCTTCATTATTGCCCAGGATTTGGTAGGGAGGCCTATGGTTAACCGTCTCCGTCCATCCTAGAATCAGAATGAACCGGGATGTGAAAGGTGAGAAAGTTTCATTCATTCTGGACCCTGGACATTCTGGACTGGTCTTGGACCTCCCTGAGCCACAGGCTCTTGCAGCCTCTAGATGCGTGAACTGATAGGTGTCACAGAAAATTCCAGCTATCGCTGATATTACTCCTGGCTCTGAGCTCTGCACTAGATGACCTGGTGCTGTGCACATAGGACATGACCATGGGAACTGAAGTAATGACAAACCCTGAGAGGACAACCAAATCAACTCACTCCTTTAACAGATGTGGCATTTAAGGCTTAAAGAAAGGAAACCACTCAAGGACACATAGCACAGAACTCTGGTCTGCCTTAGGGAATGTCACCTACCATACCATCTATATGCTATATCCTATATCCTCCTGTTTCCTATACCCTATGTGAGCCCTGAGTCTGGACTTCAGCCATCAATGGCCAATAAGAGCATGGCACTCACAGTGATTTGCTCCCGATACTGTCAGAACCCACCTTTGTTCTCAGTTTCCATTTCTGATTTTTCACACGCATGCGCTTTCCGTCATCTGTCATTTTAGGAACTGGGATTAAAAGCTTGTTGGCGTAGGTAGGATCGATTCCTTTTGTGTAGGACCCCTGGGAGGAAAAGATAATGGCTACTCTTGGTTCTTCTCCCCAAGAGGAAGGAAAACTAGTGCTTGGCAAGACCCAAAAGAGGAGTAAACTCTGGCTCAGGAGGCCCAGGCCTGACCAGTTAGCCCAGTAGTGTGTGTAGACGGGCTTAGTGAGGATAATGATACTAAAGATCTGAAAGAGATGGTCAGCAATTCCCAGATTTCCAGAGGATGGCCTGCCTCACACGCCTGCTTCCTCTTGTCTTCTCTCATCTCTCTCTGCTGGGAAAAACCCTAACTCCCAAGAATCCATGATTTGAATGAGGCTTCAGGCAAGAAACAGAAGGAACAATGCCAGAAATGCTTACCAGCAGGGAAAATTGCATTTTAACCTAAAAATAGACTTTGTGGTATTGGAGACATCTGTGCACCACATCAAGCTGACCTAGCAACAGACTCCTGGCTTTCTGATTTCATAAACCACAATGCAGCTCTTGGGGCGGGGGTGGGGGATGATTCCCTGCTTCGGGAGGTTTTGCAAGGCTCTGCTTTTCTCTTCCCGACAGGTTTCTACACGTTGCCCCTACTCAGTGCACTGACAGTGATACGGTAAATGGTGATTGATGGAGGATCTACTCAAAAAGGAAGTGACTGCTGAAGGCTGTGAAGCAGCAAACATGAAGCAGGAGGCCAAGCAAAAGGGCTACTGAGAGACAGAGGCTCCCCGCCGGGCCAGAGTCTCCAGTCACCCCTCCCGGACAGGAAGCACCTGCAGTAAGGCAATCTGGTTCTGAATGAATGTATGCATCGAGAGGTCCATCTTGACTTGCTGTACCAGTGTGGCCCAGTGCTGGCTCACCAAGGCACATCTGTTCAGGGTGGTTTTATCAAGCATACCTGAAAAAAAAAAAGGCAAACCTGGGAACCTGCAAACGGGGTTGCAATGGGAAGTCTCTTAAGAAATCCCCAGTACATCCCAGCATACTTAGAATATACTTGGAAAGGTGGATGGGCAGGCGGCGGATGAAGTCTCGGTATTTGCTGGCCCCAGAAGACAGGTCTTTGACATCATCTAAGTCAGCCAACAGATCAGAGGGGGTGCCCCCTGCCTTGGGCGTGTCAGCTTTTTTGGAAAATAGCCTTTTCATGTCGTAAATACACTGGAGTGAACTCTTCCATTGTCCCTCTAGAAGGAAGCCAGAGAAAGGTACATGGTTGGGTTGTCTCTGTGGTAATTTCAGGCCAGTAGAACGCATCAGAGTCTGCCCTTAGGCTACTGGGTTTTGGTCATTTCTTCTGCCAAAATGAAAATAGAAGCTCCAAACAAACATGCAAGTACTTTTCAGCCTTCCCAGTACAAGGAGATGTCTGTAGTCTCAAAGCCTGCCCTGCTCAGGGGAGGTGGCATGGGGTCTGGAATTCCCTTCAGATTACCCCAACAAGAAAGCATTTAAAACAATTTTAAAAGAAGGGAATTCATGAAATAAAATTGGTAAAATGTTGATAATTCTGAAGCTAGGTGGTGGTTATGAAACTGTCCTATCTACATTCAAAATTTGAAATTTGCCATATAAAAAATGTTTTAGAATATATGTGTGTGTTTCCTGCCATTGTTTCATGTATATGTCTTGCTTTGAAAACCAACTTAGGAGGGCCTTGAGGTCAGGGTCCTAATGCCCACTGCTTTTATTTCTTCCTCAAGGAATCCAGTGCTGCAAAAACACCCACTGAGTTTTTTATGAAGAGTGGGTTGCATTCGAGAGGTGCCCACCATGCCACAGGTCAGGGGCTAGATAGGGGACCGGGGACTGGGGCCTGGGACAGAGGGAGACTTGCAAAGAAGCCCTTGAGAGTTTCCTTTCTGATCTTTATTTTCAGGTATCTCTCGGAGTCACCATGCTGAAGAGCTGAAAATGTGGACTTTTGGGTCATACTGATGATTTTATCCTCGCTTCTCCCCTTTCCAGAGAGTCCAAACACCACAGGTGAAAAACGAATGTTAATTCCCCAAATCTGTCCCCTCAGCCCCTCCAACTCCACTGGGGCTGCCCAATCTCATACTGTTGGCTTTCTCACTACAAACTAATTTACCAGTATTATATGCTTCCCGCCCAGCGTTTTTAAGCAAGCTTTCTTTTCCTGAATATTTGGACATAGGGAAGGATATGTTCTTGGTTTTGGCTGCCAAGTAGACATATGAAGTATCAGACTGGGGGTCATAGTCTTTTCCAGGGAAGAGAAACGCATGATTGAAGTCTTGATCCAGCCCTGAAAAAGAAAAGATCAAGACAAGGTTGTTCTTTAAGCAGGTGTATGGAAGAAAAAGAGATGGCAGTAAATGGTTTCATTTCTACTTGCTTCTTTTAAAGCTACACAAAATGGACCAGGCCAGTTATGTCTGTTTTCATTTGGGGCCTCTGGGTTTCTATGAAAGAATCACCGAAAGCTCCTGATTCTGTTTTGCCAGCCCACCTACAATGTAACATTTATCAAAGCTCTATGTGCAAGGAGAGAGCATGAGAGAGCTCACTGTGGGCAAGAGATGGGAGAGGGGCTGCTTTTCTAACGCTCTGGCTTCATTTTCTTCAGTGGTATCAATAACAATCCGTTAGTCAGAGTAGAATATTTAACTTTTTAAGAGAGAAGCTCCCCGAGGGAAAGGAAAAGGTTGCACAACCTATAACTGGATACGACTCTAATATAAATAGCTGATTCCTGTGGAGGGTGATGGAAGCCTTTGAGAGAGAACCATGGAACAATGCACGTGGAACAAAGCCAGGCCTGCTGCACCCTGCCCTCCCTCGTGGTGAGGGGTAGCACTGCACAGGGGGAGATGCCGGGTGACCTAGTTCAAGTCACTCGGATTTCCTGAACTTTGGCTTCCTTATCTGTAAAGTCAAGGAGCTGGATTGGCTGGCCTCTAATCCATTTGTAGGAGTCTCTAATGTTTTCTCATTGCTTCTTCATTCCATATGATCATTCTTTTACTTCCCTAATGCACCAAAGAAGTTAAGTAGCACATGTCGGGATCTAATTGCCCCATAGGTCATCCAGGTTTAAAATTCTTTTGGATCCCATTGGTCTACAAATAAAACCACAAATCAGGTCTCACAGACATTAGGAATTCCCAGCCGTGAAGACCTCCAGTTCTGATGGCTCCCTTCCACCCTGTTCCCACCCCTACTAAACTGGGGTTTCCCCACTCTGGACCTTTCATTCCCGGACCCTTCAAGTCTTCTATCTCTTGCCTCCCTCTGGTTCTTTTTGTTTTCCTGATGGAGCTGGCCAAACACCTCCAAGATCTTCTCACCAACACCCTAGAGCCATGGCTCTCAAAGTGAGTGCCAACCAGCAACATCAGCATTAGCTGGGAACTTGTTAGAACTGCAGCTTGTTAGACCTGCCGAGTCAGGAGGTCTGAGAGCCCAGCCACCTGTGATTTTATAAGTCCTACCGGAGATTCTGATGCAAGCTGAATTTTAACGACAACAGTGCTAGTAGCCTTATTTGGCCCTTTTGCTATTTCCAGCCTTGGATACACTCCACTTCAAGGCTGGATTGTATGTGCAAGTAAGGAATATAGTGGCATGAATGGAAAAACAAAACCAAACCCTGTTTTGAGCTTTTGGACTGGTTTGTGAACATGGCAGGACGCAGGGAAAAACAATTCAATAGCTTCCCCGTTACATCCCTCCCGTGGCCAGCCCAATCTCCAGCCCACAGATGCAGGAACCACACCAGTTGTAAGTGACAGAGACACAGACGAGCCAAAGGGATGCAGAACTCCATTTTAAATGCTTGACACTTAAGTGTTCTGTACACCTCTCTGCATCTGTCACTTGACAATTTTCTAGAAGGAAGTTACATGCAGTAATTTCTCCGTTGTTAGACAGGATCGGGTGTCAGGACAAAGAACTCTATTCTGCCTTCTGGAAATTCTCCATCTACCTAAGTTTGTCTACACCTCCTGAAGCCTGGCCCCCTGGTCTCTGGGGCCCTCTGGTTTCTACCCGTGGCCTTGTTTACCTGAAATGTTGTTCTGCTCTTTCTGGAACAGGACTCGGATGACATCGGCAGCAGTGAGCAGTAACTTGGGGTCACACATCTGCAGCAGCAAGAGTGTGTAATTGGCCTTAGTCCGGAGGGTGCTGTTCCCAAACCAGCACACAGTCTTCCTCATCTTCTGTTTTACTGTTTTTTCCAACATTTGGTTCAAGGAGAACATTTTCTCCTCCTCCTTGCCAAGGTTGATCCGGGACCTGTTATAGATGCAATCCTTCCCCTGTGTGGTCTCAAGGATACTTTTAAAATAGTGTAACAAATATAAGTTATCCAACTGTCTCAGAATGCTAACCAGAAACCTCCTCTGAGTAGTCTCATCGATCCTTTGGAACCACTCTTTGGTGTAGAAGATCTTCCTAGCCACGATACACGTTTCACACTTCTGGCACACAGGGACAGAATTGTTTCCTCTCTCACAGTGAAAATAGGGGGTATTCTTGAGCCTTGATTCCAGTTTTTCCATGATCCTGAGATGACCAGTTCATTTTATCCTTGCCCGTGGTCAACTCCACCAAACAGCAGAGGAATAGGAGAAGTTGATAAATATCCTAAATGAGCCTTTTCTATTATAAACATCTCCCAGAGAAACAGTAAACCTCTGCGATGGATAGAAAGCTTAGCTCTCCCAGAAACTGCCGGTAGAAGTCTGGCTTTTTGTACTGAACTCCTAGGAAACATGACTTTACCGTAAATCTCCTAAACCTGGCACTACTTACGTGGAGGCAGTTGCTGTATATTCTGAAAGAGCTGGTCATCTCATTTCTAGAACACGAATAGTGTTACTCAAATTTAAGTAACATATAGACCACCTTTAAACAAAAAGAAGATATTGTGGAGCCTGGTGTTGAGCTTCAATTGGTACTGTTATTAATGACTTTTAAATATTTATGAATATAAAAGCAGATGTAATTTCTTATAGTTATAGCTGTTTGGTTATAAGGTGGCTATCCCAATGATCCTAAATACATTCAAATTCATTTTCTTAACTCATCATCAAAGTAAAAACACAAGTGTCTAATATAAATTTAAGTTATTTAGCTGTTTCAGAATGCTAACCAGAAACCTCTTCAGGGAAGCACTCCTTAGTGGAAGAATTTTTACTGGGACTAAGAGTGTATTTGGGGACTTACAATCTCAATCACAGGCCCGCCTCTGTGTCTGGGAGGCAGTACAGCTTAGGAGGGGAGGTGGTGGGGTCTGGGCCAGACTCCTGAGTTTGGACCCCAGCCAATCTGCTTACTAGGTCTGTGAACACAGGAACATGACTTGATCTTCTCTGCTTCAATTTCCTCATCTGTAGAATTGAGACAGCAGTTCCTAGTTCATAAAGTCCTTGTGAGGACTAAATGAGCTACCTTATGCAAAGCACTTAGAAGATTTCCCAGTACATAATAAGCCCTCAATAAATGCTAACTGTTCTCCCATTGTCATCATCATTATTGTCACTGGGATCATTCTTCTGGGCAGCCAGACAATCATGATGATGTTCATATGTGTGTATGTTCATACACTGAGATGCATGTAAAGAAATAATGAGAGAGCCCTGGCCAGTCTGACTCAGAAGTTAGAGCGTCAATCGCAGGTTCGATTCCGGTCAAGGGCACGTACCTGGGTTGCAATCCGTCCCAGACCCTGGTCGGGGTTGTGAGGGAGGCAACCAGTCAATGTGTCCCTCTTGTGTCGATGTTTCCCTCTCCCTCCTTCTCTATCTGAAGATAAATAGAAAAATATCCTTAGGTGAGGATTAAAAAGAAATAATGAGAGAGTGTGTGTTTGTAGTTTTTAGAAGAAAAATAACATGAAAATGACACTTATTTCATAGGATCTTCACCTTATGATCCACTGAAGAGTGATGACTTAGGCCATTAGAGCCGAGACGTTGGTGTGTATGGCCACTAGGGGCTCCCCCAGAGGTGGCTTCTGTTGTCAGTTATGACCCACAAACAGACTGAGGGCTCACTGGATTCTTCAAATATTTTTAATAGTAAAATCCTGTTTGAAAATGATGTCTTCTGTAAAAGCTCAATATGTAACATAAAAAATGTAATATTCTGTTAATACAAATTTATGTTATAAATTCAAAAATTTACCTGTTAGCAAGGCAATTATTGAGAATAATGGAGACATAATAATTCGGATGAAGCAAAAACCTGTAAACCTGAGGTTGAAGATGACAAATACTATCTTTACATCAGCTTCAGAATCTACAAAATTTAAATTAGTGATTTCCAAAGTGTTTTCTGTGGACTCTAGGTTCACACTTATGGCAAACCTGGAATCAAGACTTAGGAATGGCCCTGGCCAGTTTGGCTCAGCGGTTAGAGCATCAGTTCCCGCTACTGGCTCAGTGGTTAGAGCGTCAGTTCCCGCTAAGGGCACGTACCTCAGTTGCAGTTTGTCCCCAGCCCTGGTTGGGTTGTGCGGGTGGCAGCCACTTGATGTGTCCTTTTCACGTTGATGTTTCTCTCTCTCTCTCTCCCTCCCACTCTATCTGAACAAAAAAGTGGAAAAATGTCCTCAGGTGAGGATAAAAAAAAAAAAAGACTTAGGAATGACCCCTATTTTTGTTGTGAGAAGGGAAATGATTCTGTCCTGAGTGCCAGAAGTGAGAACCTCGAGTCCACAGAAAACACCTTGAAAATTGCTAAGTGCTAACATATTCAGGATGAGTGCCTGCAAATAATTATCAAAAGGTTCCACTAAAGCCCTGGCCAGTTTGGCTCAGCGGTTAGAGCGTCAGCCTGCGGTCCAGAGAGACTCGGGTTCGGTTCCCGCTAAGGGCATGTACCTCGATTGCAGTTTGTCCCCGGCCCTGGTTGGCCGAGCGGGTGGCGGCCACTCGATGTGTCCCTTTCATGTCGATGTTTCTCTCTCTCTCTCTTCCTCTCTCTCCCTCCCACTCTATCTGAACAAAAAAAATGGAAAAATGTCCTCGGGTGAGGATAAAAAAAACAAAAAACAAAAAAAGGTTCCACTAAAAATAATACACACACACACACACACACACAGAGGGAGAGAATGTAACAAAATGCTAATAATCGGTGAATGTGGGAGAAGAGTATAGGAGTGTTCGTTGTTCTTTGTAGGTTTTAAATTTTTCAAAATAACAATAAAGATATACTGCTAAATGGGGGGGGGATTACTATATTAGACTACTGCCTAAAATAACTACCAAGCTTGCCACTGTGGCCAAAACGCCCTTGTAAATGTTGGCAGCCCAGAAAAGTGATTCAAAGGCACACCGAGACCATTCCACTTCAGACACGACCAGGTTCACATACTAACTCTGGTACTTAGGAACTATATGGTCTTGAGTTAGCTACCTGGGTGAAGATGGGAGAGATGAAGGCAGGTAATAAAAACTATAGCTACCTTCTAGGATTAAATCAAATGTATGACACTAGTGTCACTGCTATTGTTCTTCTTCTTATAGCTATTACTCCAGATTCAACCGAAAGATTTACAATGCCACGCGCATTTCTAGTGCCCCTGTCTGGAGACGTGGCCCCGGTCAAGGAAGGCAGTGGAAATCACTGCCAGGGTTGGTTTGCAGTGGCAGTCCATACCAGGGTTGGGTAGGGGACAAGAATCAGGCTGGGGAGGAAAATAGTGCTAACAGGCCAACCTCTTCTGGCTGAAGAGATATCTGAAAGGCAAGAGCTGATTAGCATCTAATCTGTCAGGAAGGCCAAACAAAGGAGGTTGGCCAGGAAGATGGATGCCCAAAGCAGAGGCTTGGGTGTATAAAGAGTGGGAGAAACGTCCCCAGATGTGCTACAGAAGTCCAAATAAATGAGGATTTTAATCTGTGAGGCTGACATACCTCAAGGAAGTGGTTTGATCAGCCCAGCTCAGCCATATCCCATGCTTAGGGGCCCACAGTGGCACAAGGGAAGGGGACGAACTTGGGGATCAGAGAGACAGGTGGGGTCTCATTGCTGTTTCCTGCCAAAGGTGTGGCCTTGATACAGTAACTCCGGCCTCTCTGAGGCCCCATCTCCTTCTCTGTAGGTGACAACTGACCCTGCAGGATGTCGTAATGCGAGGACTACACTGATTACAATAGGTGAGCACCGCAGCTGCTCGGCTGCCTCTCCATCCCACTCACCACCACTGCTCGCACACAGTTACACACACGCGCGCACACATGGGCACGCGCACACAGCATCTCACCCGACTCAGGCAGGGAAGTTGGAGCCACTTGGGATCTGGTAGAAGTTTAGACGGTGGCCTTGGTGAAGGCAGGACAAGATGACCGGACAGGACAAGCCAGTGGTGGAGAAGTGTCATGGATGATACCCAAAGAGGCAGGCAGGAAACAGGTCTCATCAGAGTAAGACACAGGGCAGGAAAACATTTCTCAGAGGAAGGCATCAGGGCTGAAAAGGAGACAGTTCTCAAATATCCGGGCTACCAGCAGCCTGAAGACCAGTTCTCTATTTTTCCTCTCTCTCCTCTGTTATTCTCTGTTCACGATTCTGACTAAACCCTCTTGCCACACTGCCCCAAATCCCCACCTCCTTTTCCCACCCTCCATGTGGTTTAGAGAACCCCAGAGGGTGCAGCTCACCTCCCCCGCCTGGCTCAGCTGCCTGCCTCACACGGCACCGAGGCTCTTCTGGGTCCCCCCCAAAGCCGCTGGCCCAGGGTCCGCCAGGAAAGGGCTCGGGTCCAGCGCAGGAGAGATGGAATGAAGCCAGGCAGCTACATACCTCTGGGTAATTCACTTTCTGTTCCCATCCTGCTCCCCTTTCATAAGATGGAAATTATAATTCAACCTAGCTCACAGGCAGGAGTCAGAGTCAAATAAATGGATACATTTGAAAAAGCACTTTATAATGTGTGAAGAGCTATTCAAGAAAAATAGTCCCCCCTTTATCTGTGGAAGATACATGCCAAGACCCCGAGTGGATGCCTAAAACTTTGGATAGTACTGAACCCTGTATATACTATGTATTTTCCTATACATAGTATAGGACTTACGATGACTTACAATAAAGTTTGATTTATAAATTAGGCATAGTGAGAGATAACAACAATAACTAAGAATAAAATAGAATGATTATAACAATATACCATTAAAAAAACACACAGTGATGTAAATGTGATCTCTCTCTTTCCAAATATCTGATACCTGATCTGATAACCAAGACACCTACTAAGTGACTGATGAGTGGGTACGTATACAGTGTGGAGACGCTGGACAAAGGGATGATTTATATCCCAGGCGGGAAGGAGCGGGACAGCCTGAGACTTCATCCCGTGTGTCAAACTGATGTCCCCTTTATAACTTGTGAATTGTTTATTTCTGGAATTTTCCAATTAATATTTTTGGACCATGGATGCCTGAAGGTCACTTAAACTGCAGAAAGCAGAACCCTGGGTAAGAGGGGACTACGGTGCTGTTACCATTAAGGAAAATGGGAAAGCCATCATGTCTGAACCATCCCTTTTCCATCATGT